TATAGATACAACGATGGTTGCAGCAACAGAAGGTGAGGACGCAACAACAGAAATTGCCACTGAAACAACAGAAGTTCAGGATGCAACTACAGAAAGTGATGTCAAAACAACTGATGCAATTGAATTAACAACAGCAGGTCTAGATACAACAATTGTTGCAAAAACAGAAGGTGAGAACTCATCAACAGAAGTTGTCACTGAAACAACAACAGATATAGATACAACAATGGTTGCAACAACAGAAGGTGGGGACCCAACAACAGATCTTGTCACTGAAACAACAACAGGTATAGATACAACAGTGGTTGCAACAACAGAAGGTGAGGACCCAACAACAGAAAGTGGTCTGAAAACAACAGATGCAATTGAATTAACAACAGCAGTTATAGATACAACAATGGTTGCAACAACAGAAGCTGAGGACCCAACAACAGAAGTTATCATTGAAACAACAACAGGTATAGATACAACAATGGTTGCAACAACAGAAGGTGAAGACCCAACAACAGGAGTTGTCACTGAAACAACAACAACAGGTATAGATACAACAGAGGTTGCAACAACAGAAGGTGAGGACCCAACAACAGAAGTTGTCACTGCAACAACAGAAGGTGAGGACGCAACAACAGAAGTTATCACTGAAACAACAACAGGTATAGACACAACAATGGTTGCAACAACAGAAGATGAGGACCCAACAACAAAAGTTGTCACTGAAACAACAGAAGACGAGGACGCAACAACAGAAGTTGTCACTGAAACCAAGGTAGATGAGGACGCAACAACAGAAGTTGTCACTGAAACAATAGAAGGTGAGGACGCAACAACAGAAAGTGATGTAAAAACATCTGATGCAATTGAATTAACAACAGCAGGTATAGATACAACAATGTTTGCAACAACAGAAGGTGAAGACGCAACAACAGAAGGTGTTGATAGAACATTAGACGTTGTTGAAGACAAAACAACAGTCATGGATACAACTGTGAGTGTGACAACAACAAGTCAGCATGCAACAACAAAAGGTGTTGATAGAACCTCAGAAGGTGTTGAAGACACAACAACTGTCATGGATACAACTGTGGGTATGACAACAACGAGTCAGCGTGAAACAACAGAAGGTGTTGATAGAACATCGAACGTTGTTGAAGACACAACAACAGTCATGGATACAACTGTGGGTATGACAACAACGAGTCAGCATGAAACAACAGAAGGTGTTGATAGAACATCAGAAGTTGTTGAAGACATAACAACAGTCATGGATACAACTGTGGGTGTGACAACAACAAGTCAGCATGAAACAACAGAAGGTGTTGATAGAACATCAGAAGTTGTTGAAGACATAACAACAGTCATGGATACAACTGTGGGTATGACAACAACGATTCAGCATGAAACAACAGAAGGTGTTGATAGAACATCAGAAGACACAACAGTCATGGATACAACTGTGGGTGTGACAACAACAAGTCAGCATGAAACAACAGAAGGTGTTGATAGAACATCAGAAGTTGTTGAAGACACAACAACAGTCATGGATACAACTGTGGGTATGACAGCAACGAGTCAACATGCAACAACAGAAAGTGTTGATAGAACATCAGACGTTGTTGAAGACACAACAGTCATGGATACAACTGTGAGTATGACAACAACAAGTCAGCGTGAAACAACAGAAGGTGTTGATAGAACATCAGAAGGTGTTGTTGACACAACAACAGTCATGGATACAACTGTGGGTATGACAACAACGAGTCAGCATGAAACAACAGAAGGTGTTGATAGAACATCAGATAGCGTTGAAGGTACAACAACAGTCATAGATACAACTGTGGGTGTGATAACTACGAGTCAGCATGAAACAACAGAAGGTGTTGATAGAACATCAGAAGTTGTTGAAGACATAACAACAGTCATGGATACAACTGTGAGTGTGACAACAACGAGTCAGCATGCAACAACAGAAAGTGTTGATAGAACATCACAAGACACAACAGTCATGGATACAACTGTGGGTGTGACAACAACAAGTCAGCATGAAATAACAGAAGGTGTTGATAGAACATCAGAAGACACAACAGTCATGGATACAACTGTGGGTGTGACAACAACGAGTCAGCATGCAACAACAGAAAGTGTTGATAGAACATCAGAAGGTGTTGTTGACACAACAACTGTCATGAATACAACTGTGGGTGTGACAACAACGAGTCAGCATGCAACAACAGAAAGTGTTGATAGAACATCAGAAGTTGTTGAAGACAAAACAACAGTCATGGATACAACTGTGGGTGTGACAACAACGAGTCAGCGTGAAACAACAGAAAGTGTTGATAGAACATCAGAAGTTGTTGAAGACATAACAACAGTCATGGATACAACTGTGAGTGTGACAACAACGAGTCAGCATGCAACAACAGAAAGTGTTGATAGAACATCAGAAGTTGTTGAAGACAAAACAACAGTCATGGATACAACTGTGGGTGTGACAACAACGAGTCAGCGTGAAACAACAGAAAGTGTTGATAGAACATCAGAAGTTGTTGAAGACATAACAACAGTCATGGATACAACTGTGGGTGTGACAACAACGAGTCAGCGTGAAACAACAGAAGGTATTGACAGAACATCAGAAGTTGTTGAAGACATAACAACAGTCATGGATACAACTGTGGGTGTGACAACAACGAGTCAGCGTGAAACAACAGAAGGTATTGACAGAACATCCAATGTTGTTGAAGACACAACAACAGTCATGGATACAACTGTGAGTGTGACAACAACGAGTCAGCATGCAACAACAGAAAGTGTTGATAGAACATCAGAAGTTGTTGAAGACAAAACAACAGTCATGGATACAACTGTGGGTGTGACAACAACGAGTCAGCGTGAAACAACAGAAGGTATTGACAGAACATCCAATGTTGTTGAAGACACAACAACAGTCATGGATACAACTGTGAGTGTGACAACAACGAGTCAGCATGCAACAACAGAAAGTGTTGATAGAACATCAGATAGCGTTGAAGGTACAACAACAGCCATGGATACAACTGTGGGTGTGACAACAACGAGTCAGCATGAAACAACAGAAGGTGTTGATAGAACATCAGATAGCGTTGAAGGTACAACAACAGTCATAGATACAACTGTGGGTGTGACAACATTGAGTCAGCGTGAAACAACAGAAGGTGTTGATAGAACATCAGATAGCGTTGAAGGTACAACAACAGTCATGGATACAACTGTGGGTGTGACAACAACAAGTCAGCGTGAAACAACAGAAGGTGTTGATAGAACATCAGATAGCGTTGAAGGTACAACAACAGTCATGGATACAACTGTGGGTGTGATAACAACAACAGTTAAAGACATAACAACTACCATAGGTCATATAACAACCACAACAATGGAAGGAACATCATCTGCTGAATCAACCACTCCTAAACATATAACAACTGCTAAACATACAACTACGGAAAGTGTTCAAACCACAAAAGTTCCTGAAATCACAACAAAAACAAAAACAACAACAACATCATCAAATACACAAAGCACTGTGTCATCGACAACATATATATCAAGTAAGTACTTTGAAACGCAAATTGAATTGAATGTACAGCATTATCATTCAGTTTAGTGAATGTCAAAGAATATCTATATATAATCATGTACCATATGAATTGGATTTACTTATAAGCAGTTCACTGTTTACATCAATGATTCAGAAATACCCTGAATCAAAAATATGTGACTTTCGGATAATATTGCCTCAATACGACACAAACCTAGCCAATCTTCATCATACACATTGACCTGCCGCTACCTGTAACGCTCAATCCTCTATCCACTCTCAAACATACATATTGAATTCTCCCTACCCGCTCAAATCGCCGGCAACACTCCAATATATACAATGACCTGTATCTACCAATGCGATCATCTAGCCACTATCTGGCATACATGCTGAACTCTCCCTACCAACCCCAACGTCACGTTACGTCACATTCAAATATGTTCCTTTGTTTACTCCACAACTCCGCAGACGCTTTCAGTGCTGTTAGCTGGTGATGGAAATAAAATGCATACAAATTTTCGCAAATTTTATGGTATTTTTGAAATAACCTCATATTGTCCATTAGAACTCATTCATTTGAAATTTCTAATGTTGAATATTCATGAAGGTCCTTGTGACAGTGGGCCATGCGAGAATGGTGGCATATGTACTGAAGACAATGGTTACGTGTGTGAATGTCCTATGTTTTATACAGGGAAAAACTGTCAGTTAGGTAATACATTTCAATTACCATTTTCATGTGTGTCGCTTAACATTTGAAGTAATGTAATATCAAGAATGTATAAACAAATTGAAGAAACCATGTGAATTGCGATGTGTAATCACAAAATTTAAAAAAAACTGCATTTCAAGAAATCAGAATGCAAATTAGTGAGTATGTGAAAAACCATTTTTGATATTATCCTTGTTTATTTGCAAAGTGGGTAATATGTACATTTTACATTTCTGGGTACGGTGATAATCCAACATTTATGTTTATGCAATTCAACATTTCCAGGCACCCACTGTGTTCTGTGACTTGTACAGCACATATCGCTTTCAAACTCTCGCAAAACGCGAGAGTTCGCTTCTCCTGAGATCTTCATCGTATATCACCGTTTTTTTAAATTGAATCTTATGAATGTTTGTAGTATCGTATGACTTTTGCAGCTGGATATGATTGTTTTCATTATTTCATTATTTAGTCAAATCGATGACGAAGCCACAATGATTCAACTATGTTTTATTTCCAGTGATAAAAGCTTGTAAAAGTTGGCCCTGTCTAAATGGTGCTACTTGTCGTGATCAGAGTCCAGGACATTATACCTGTGATTGCTTACCAGGATACACGGGAGATCTCTGTCAAGGTGCGTCATAGACTAATTCTTATGGATAGGTGGTTTTACTAATATTATAAATGACGTAGATGTGTAGTGTTGAACAGACAGACAGTTAATAATGTAAATAACAATATACTAGATTTGAAGAATAAAATTTACTCAACAAATTGTAAAATGTACATGTTTTAGTTTACGAAATCGGCAAACACGATGATTTTTATGACTGGAATAAAGTTGATTGAAACATTTTCAAGTTTGACGCTGGCGAGCAGAAACGAAATAGTCATAAGCTTGACATTCAATGTGTATATGTGTTTTATACTTGTAGTACAATTGGCCCTACTATGTCGACGTAATTGCAATTTTGGTTCATGTGAGTTGGTGGAAGGTTACCCTACATGTCACTGTTATGATGGATATGGTAATTCTCCAAGTGGCAAATGTGTTGGTAAGTGTAACCATCTTTAATAGTCAACTTTCGCAAAATAGTCTACCCTCTTCTACATAAATCTCTGAGGAAAATAGTAAAAGAAACAAAAGTGGTAACTGTCAAGTGTCGGTAAGATGTACCAACTTTGGTGCGAAGGAATTGTGTAATCCTTATTACATTTTATGAGTATTAATATTATTTCTTTTCAGATTTAGACATGTGTTTACAAGAGAGGAACGACTGTTCTCAGATTTGCGTTGATTTACCAGGCAGATTTCAATGTCTGTGCATTCAGGGCTATGTTTTAGAAGATGATTATATTACATGTACAGGTAAATGTAGTTTAATTTCATTTTCTTGTGCAATACCTGTACTCTTTATTTATGGTTCTTATAATAATATGTTGATGACGTCATATCTAAACCAACAGATATTAATGAATGTGAAAGCAACCCATGCATCTATGGAACCTGTAAAGATGAGATTAATGGGTTTACATGTACATGTTACCCTGGCTACACTGGAACTATGTGTGATATCGGTACGTTATAACAAGTTATAGTTATAGATGTAATTACGTATTTATTCTAAAACTGCACAACATGTCACCCGAATTGACGCACTCTCTAATTATTGACCTATTTTGTAATTGGGTATATACAAACTTGCCAGAAATTCTATACGCATCTATTATTTGATTATTTCCGTACTTAGTAACATTTGCTCCTTGTAGTCCAGCATTGAAAAATGCCAAAACAGTAGAATTTGGGGTTTCAAAGCAAAAAATTAATAAAACACTTAAGATGACCGAGTGTATTTTTGTCAAAATAAATTGGATGATTTGTATTTAGTTTTTAGATCGAAGATTACTAAAATGAAATTTGCCAAAATGAAAATAGGATTATCATAGTTTCGAAGCGCAAAATTATTTCAAAAAGCATTTTAAGATAAGAATACGTATCAGTTGTAATTCATGAACATTTCTATCGAGGTTATAGTATTAGATGTATAATTTGTATTTACGACATTAAATAATACCGAAAGTTAGGAAATTGTTGGAATTTACCAAAAGATCATGAACCACTTTATACAGTGGAGTTTCTAATCACAAAACAACTCGGAATTACTGGAGGCTCCATAAATTTCAACCTGTTGAAACTTCCGTCATTCACTTAATTTATGAACATTAAACAATAGCTACTCTGGTACCATATTTATTCAACCAGCTTGTAATAAAAGGATGTGTTTTCATTTTTTTTCAAAATTTACCATGCCGTTTATTCGGTGCTATTTACTGGTAGAATATAACGTAGATGTGTGTTGGGTGCCCGGATGTTGCTGATGTAGATATAGTTTCACTAATAATCTCATACATTTCTAGACGGTAACACGCAGTGTATGTGTTGATATAAATTGTTACATTCACAGATATAGACGATTGTTCAAGTTATCCCTGTTACTATGGTGACTGTACTGACTTGGTGGATGACTACCAATGCACGTGTTGGCCCGGATTTAAATCGGCAGACGAGAATTGTTTAGAAGGTATATTTTCATTTTCTATTTAATAGACTGACGTCACGCACACGATGACGGAATCTTCTAACAAAGTATCTCAGTCGTCGATACAGGTCCGTTGTACTGTGACGTCATATGTTTGAGATACAAATGTGATGATGCTATGATTCGTAATGTCTCAGCTTTAATGTCAAATTATTGCAATGTGAATATTATTTAACATTTTAAGTGCTTCAAACTAAATTTAATGTTGATGATATTTTGTTTTGAATCACAAGAAATTGACGAGTGTGAAAGTAGTCCTTGTGTCGAAGGTCAAGGTGTATGTATTGACCGGATAAACAGATATGAATGTAGATGTCGACCGGGATGGACTGGAATAAACTGCCAGACAGGTAAGATAAGTTATCGTATTATCATAAGATTAAACTAACCTCTCTAGAGGGCGCTGTTTATTACCCCCAGCCGAAAGGGTTACCGTGCAGTTATGCGCTAAAGGTCAAATAAATCTCCGAGGGGAGGGGTCTCTGAATTAAAATAAAAACATAAAAGGGGCGTTATATAGTAATAAAGTGTGAAAAAAAGGAATCTCATGAATTCATGTTACCTCAACATGGAAACAGTATGATTTTAGTATGTATATAGGATATCTATTTTAAGTTTCTGCACTTGAAAAGAGGTATAATTTCACAAAAATTCGTACGTGTTTAGAGGCTTTTTGAAAAACTATACTTCAGCATTGGTACCAGGTCTGACTTGGGGTACCCCCCCCCCCCTCCCTGGAAATAAATCATCATCTCGAGAGCTAGGCCATTGCTTCACCGGTATACCAGGTTGGGTTGGGAGAAGCGGTTTAACTTTGAGGGCAATTTGTCACATATTCTGTGTTCTTAAATCAGGTTACGGCGTGTAACCATGGAAATTCTAGAACACGCCTATCTGACAATTAAAGCCTTGGTACAAATGTAGAGTCTCCAACATATATTCCATAAAATACATTCCTGTTAATGTAACTGAACTTATTATAGATAACAACAACATCTTCTTTAGGACCAAATATATAGAATCGGTAATTAATGTATTACAACTGGATCGAGACAGAACCATGGTCTTTAGAAACTCCCTCTTCCAAGTACAAAATAATAGTTTCCTAAAAAAATTGGGTCACGGTGCCAAGCCGTGTTCGGCCTGTGTTGACATGTGAAACCAGTTTCCTCGGTGTTCTGTGAGTGTAAAAATAGTCATACATCCTAATTGTAATCACTTTCAAGTCGCACCAACATGTATGCAAACTATGATCTAATGTGTTGAAAATATTTCAATTTTCAGACATTGATGAATGTGACAAAGGTTTGGATAATTGTCATATCTATGCTAATTGTACAAATACTGTGGGAAGTTTTACTTGTCAATGTCATGATGGATATTATAAAGATGGTAATGAATGTAAAGGTAAGAACATTTACTGTGTATAGCAATATATGTGCCTCATGCTTATTGCCTGGCGATATCTGGTTATTGTGTATGGCGATATCTGGTTATTGTGTATGGCGATATCTGGCTATTGTGTATGGCGATATCTGGTTATTGTGTATGGCGATATCTGGTTATTGTGTATGGCGATATCTGGTTATTGTGTATGGCGATATCTGGTTATTGTGTATGGCGATATCTGGTTATTGTGTATGGCGATGTCTGGTTATTGTGTATGGCAATATCTGGTTATTGTGTATGGTGTTATCTGGTTATTGTGTATGGCGATATCTGGTTATTGTGTATGGCGATATCTGGTTATTGTGTATGGCGATATCTGGTTATTGTGTATGGCGATATCTGGTTATTGTGTATGGCGATATCTGAGTATTGTGTATGGCGATATCTGGTTATTGTGTATGGCGATATCTGGTTATTGTGTATGACGGTATCTGAGTATTGTATATGGCGATATCTGGTTATTGTGTATGGCGATATCTGGTTATTGTACATGGCGATATCTGAGTATTGTGTATGGCCATATCTGGTTATTGTGTATGGCCATATCTGGTTATTGTGTATGGCGATATCTGGTTATTGTGTATGGCGATATCTGGTTATTGTGTACGGCAATAACTGGTTATTGTGTATGGCGATATCTGAGTATTGTGTATGGTGATATCTGGTTATTGTGTATGGCGATATCTGAATATTGTGTATGGCCATATCTGGTTATTGTGTATGGCCATATCTGGTTATTGTGTATGACGATATCTGGTTATTGTGTGTGGCCATATCTGGTTATTGTGTATGGCGATATCTGGTTATTGTGTATGGCAATATCTGGTATTGTGTATGGCCATATCTGGTTATTGTGTATGACGATATCTGGTTATTGTGTGTGGCCATATCTGGTTATTGTGTATGGCGATATCTGAGTATTGTGTATGGCGATATCTGGTTATTGTGTATAGCGATATCTGGTTATTGTGTATGGCGATATCTGGTTATTGTGTATGGCGATATCTGAGTATTGTGTATGGCGATATCTGGTTATTGTGTATGGCGATATATGAGTATTGTGTACGGCGATATCTGAGTATTGTGTACGGCGATATTTGCTAACTGTGTATTGCAATATTATTTGACTGTATGTGCATATGATGTTATTGATACAAAATGCGACTGAGTGCATGCGATGAACACGCACACATTTCCGCATTTCGATATAAACATACTTACCCCACATGGCGGTGTTGAATAACACATCTTAGCTGGAGATAATGGCAATAACTTGATTGATATTAGTTTCGAAATTTGCAAATATTAAGAAGTAGATCAATCCACTTATAAATGTGTCTTTTTATTTGATTAATTTCTTATATGAATTATGTTTTAATTTTTCCAGATATAAACGAATGTGAAGAGGAACCTTGCAGCCATACCTGTACTAACCTATCCCCTAGAGAGAACAGTTACACTAAAGGATTCCGGTGTTCATGTCCAATAGGATGGCGATTACAAACTAATTATGTAAACTGTACAGGTAGGTTTTTATTATTAGTAGACAGCGAAAAATGTCCAACACGGGGAATACGTGTATGTGTAGAAGGTGTATTTCAAATGTCAATCTTGTGCATTCAAGATGACATGATACGTTTTGTGTCCAAACATGGCATCTCGATTGTGGAATAGGTGAATATGTTCTTCCCCCCTGTCGTGTGTCATGTGATATACAGTAAGCAGTATTTGATAATCGTTTAGCTTAATGCTTAAACTGGTCACTGGTAGCATATATTTGGTTTGATCAGACTCATGATCGGTAGACCCAAGTTCAAATCCTACTTTAGGCCGCTGAACATCCAAAGGGTTAACCCCTACCCTGGGTGAGTGTGCCACAGACTCAATGGGAAGGCCAATTCCACTGGCCGAGATTCATTCACTAACAAATGCGACTTTGGGGGAGCCTTGGTTAAGGTCCGCAGGTGCTTGTGTTTGACCGAGCCTGGTTGACGCCAGGATAGCACATTAAATTGCCATTTGATAGGGAGATGGCCGCACAGCCCTGTCATGTAGTCCCAAACAGGAAATGACTTCTGTGGCAAAATGCACTATGTGTCAGCACTTGCAATTTGCACGTACAAAAAAAAGTCAGGAGAGACAACAGTGACATTCAAATTCCGGAACTGTCGCCTGGCACAAAAAATATTAAAAAAAAAAAATATAGCTTAATGCAATAATCCAATCTCAGTATTAAAACTATTTAAACCACAAGTAGAATATATCTACTAAATGAGACCAATACTTAAGGGACTCCCAAATAAGGTACAAATGCAGCAGACATTTTGAATAAGTTGAACAGTTAATTCTATGTCGTTTGTTAGCTCCAATGCTATGGAATTTGTACTAGTTAGATCATGGTCACATGACGGTTGCAGCATGTAAACCACAAATGCGAAGCGTGAGTGGTTTGTGTTCCTGATAATCACATGATTTAACTAACTCATACCACGGCTGTTCGAGTCACCCAAATTGTTGTTGTGACTACGCATGACTTAATCTTTATTTATCATTATGAATTTGTTGCGTATTCGGTATTGTTGGTACTTCGATCTCATATACTACCGGTATCTATTATGTAATATCAAGGATATGGCATGTAACCATGGAAACATCTATTGGCCAATTCAAGATAGCCTTGGTACAGATGTACAGTTTTAAACATTTATTACATGAAATGCAATTAACAACATTCCTGTAATGATCTGGATTAATTATCGACAATAACATTTTTAGGTCCGAATATACAATTAGAATCTTCAATAATTAAATTACAACTAGATTGAAACAAAATCATAATCTTTAGACACCCCTTCCAACATTTCCCTTGTACTAACTAATATTTTTCTCATATCAAGCCGTAAGCCGTAATCGGCCTGTGCTGAAATGTACAACTGTTTGTCTCAATTTTCTGTAAACATATTTGTGCATTATATTTTTAATCAGCTAACATTCAATTTCACGTGGCATGTTTTGAAATCCAATACACAAACAATATCTTCAAGTCGCACCAACATGTATGCAAACTATGATCTCATGTGATGAATATTTCAACTTTCAGACATTGATGAATGTGACGAAGGTTTGGATAATTGTCATATCTATGCTAATTGTACAAATACTGTGGGAAGTTTTACTTGTCAATGTCATGATGGATATTATAAAGATGGTAATGAATGTAAAGGTAAGAACATTTACTGTCTAGAATTCACGTCAACATGTTACATTTGTATGTATTAGTGTTGGGATTTGTTTGCACATTTGTATATCACAGTGACATAAAACAGTGGTACGAATTCACCATATCGTGGTGATATATGTTTATTATGTACAGCGGTATCTGAGTATTGTGTATGGTGTATTCTACATGGTGATGTCTGCATATCGTTAATGGCGACATCTGTGTATCGTGTGTGTTGATATCTGCTTAATAAGTACGAAGATGACTGATATAGCAATATCTTCTTATTGTATGTTGCAATGCCTGTTTAATTGTGTATAGCGATAGATGTTTATTTTGTATGTCGATATCTGTTAATTGTGTATGCGATATCTGCTTTTGTGCACGGCGATATCTGCTTATTGTGTATGGCAATATTATATGATATGTACTTGTTTCGTATGGCGATATATGTTCGTTGTGTATATGGCGATATCTGCTTGTTCAAGGTGATTTATTGTCTATGGAAATATTGACATTTTGGATACTGTGCATCTTCTCTGTATATAATATTGATTAATGTCTCAATGCAAAATATATATTTTTGACTTACTACAGCGATTCTCTAGTAGCAATCTGAACATACTGCCTCACAGTTTTTTCCCCAAATATTTTCTTTAAACTATATTATATCCCTCTTTCTTGCAGAAATTATACTGTTTGCGTACGGTCTAGTAGAAGGAGATGAAGAGTTGACTATAACCTATGACAAATCAGTATCTTCTGAATTTGATAAAGTGTCGGAGACAATAGAGTATAAAACAGGATTCCCGTTTTGGGGTGATTTCTACTATAAATCATATGTAAGTAATTGATTTAAAAGATATGCATGATACAAACAGTCATTGTACATTTAAGAATATTAACATAGTTTGGCTAACTAAATATATCCATCAATAGTTGTGACCAACTCGTATCACTTCAGTCATGTGCTGATGAGAGATGATTTCATATCAGTATGATATAATTAAACAATACCCCCCCCCCCCTGTCGAAGGCAGGTATACCACGAGATATTGCATAATGCACAACGATAAAACTAGTGAAAAAAAATTTACTTGCATCTACTATAAGATCATGATTATGGCCCTTGAACATGAATATTTATAAAACAGTATGTAGTTGTACACTGAATGCACACAAAAACACACGCAACACCAGGGCAACACAGTTTATTCTGGGAACAGTGAATGGAACAGCGTAAACACAAAAATTAGCATAACAAAAGATGACCTTCCTGACCTGTTACTGACTACATCAACGCCACTTGAAATACAGGGTCGTGTACACTTTGGACCAATAAAACAACAGATTTTCTGAGTTTTCATTCCGGTTTTTGTACAATTTGGATTGTAATTTGCCCATTGAAAGTACAGTCGTGAAATAAACCGGATGTCTGACTCATCATACTATTTGTAACTATGAATATTTGAAGTTCAGCGATACTTGGTTCGATCATGGAGGTAAAAAGGCCTAGTAAGAGATTGAAGTTTCAGACATGGCGAGACGCGGTGGTGTATCGTGTACGGTGACCGGCGCAGCGATCTCAGAACCAACATCTGACCTAGATACATCTTTCGTATATAACCAATGTTTTGTGAGAGTATGCATGACACGTTTTGTCCTTGTTCTGAGGTAAGTCAGGACACGTACGCAACTCCAGCCGGATCAAGGACTGTGAGCCACTGTGCACTCCATCGCTCTAGTACAGAGGTTGGTCACGGTTACTAACTTTGGTGTACACTTCATCATCTCCCCTAATTGCCCCCCCCCCCCCCAGTGGAGAATTACATTACATTCTGCGTTATCCCGTGGTCTTTGAAAAAATAACTTTAATCTCTCAATTTCATCTAGTTGGTCACAAGTTAAACTTACAAATCGTGCTTTCTTTGTTGGGGCACAGTCCGAGGGACTGTGGTTGGGGGTTTGTAATCCATTTCAAAGTCACAAGATATGTCTTACTTGAAGCATGGCTACCTCCATGCTTGAAGCAAACACGGTGTTCTGGCGTTCGTTTAACCATGGAGGTAGTATCTCCATGGTTTAACTTTGTGTGGCGAACTACGATCACCAGGCGGTCGACGCTCACAACTTGGATCCCGTCATTAAAAAAAACAATATTATGGTTATATAATTTTCCAGATATTTTTAATTCGATAATCTTTCCAAAATTCAACCACTATATTTCCCTAAAAATCAAATACTCCTGCCGGTTTTATGTATTTCCGCATTAAACCTGTAGTCAATTCATGTTTTGTGTCTCTAGTCATATGCAAATGTTGTGTTTGGACTGATCAATATTAATTTTTTATATACAGATATAATATAATAATAAATAATAATTTGGTAATATAAATAACTTTGAGTATTCTAAAATAATCAATATTCGTTTGATGAAATCATGAAAAACGCACATGTGCATGTATTCTGAGTACACCACATGTAATTCAAAGCATGTGCATACTAGCTTTTTCATTAAATCATTGAACAAATTCTGAACACAATAACGTTTTGATTTCAAAATAAAACATACACACAATATGTAATATCAAGCAAAATGATTTAAACATGATCTTCATAAAAAATAAAATTATCAACATCGCCTTTTTAATTAATAGTAATCATAACTATATATCATAAATGAAATAACAATAAAGCCATGATTTCTTAATGACCATTTAGTTCACAGACAATGGTTTGTTGGTATTTTTGAATGAGAACGATGTTAAATATACGTACCCTAACCCGTTTGTAGACGGATTCAACTCTACGCAAACAACTCCTATGGTAGCAGTGTTTTGGGATGATGTTGACATCAGTGATCCATCTGTTGGCAATGTATATTATCAGGTAAGATTTTTATATTAATATAATCTGTGTTATCTAAGATATTTAATTTGAAAACTATACTACATGTTCACAAACGACTTGCAATATATGAGTATCCAGAAATATGTGTATTTCATAACATTTTGAATGACTAATTTCTAGTCGATTGTGACCCCTTGAACACCCCCCAAAAAACATAATTAATGTCTCTTATTTTTACAACTACAGATTTATAAAAAAGAAAATGGTTCTTTTATAAGTAACCGACACCGAGCAATGTTTAATGCTGTCAATAAGCGTATACATAATGCAAAAGGAACGTACAACAAACCCTATTATTACGATTATAATTTTGAAAATTTTGAGGCTGAATGGATTCTTCTTGTAACTTGGGAAGCGGTGGCTGCAGTTCCTTCTGCGTACACTAAAGGCACGGTAGGTAGTACATTGAATATATATCAATACTAGCAAGTATTCTTGTGTAACTTAAACACATTCCTATAAATTATACTAAATTATACCGTCTTTAGACAGAACACATCTATGGTGTAAAAATGTTGTATACGGGAATGTCATTTGAATAGACGACTGTGTATGATTGTGTAGTCATTGTCATCTAGAATGTCATTTGAATAGACGACTGTGTATGATTGTGTAGTCATTGTCATCTAGAATGTCATTTGAATAGACGACTGTGTATGATTGTGTAGTCATTGTCATCTAGAATGTCATTTGAATAGACGACTGTGTATGATTGTGTAGTCATTGTCATCTAGAATGTCATTTGAATAGACGACTGTGTATGATTGTGTAGTCATTGTCATATATAAAACATCTCAAGTAATGGACGCTCACAGATAAAAAAAAGAATATTAAAATATTTAACTTTGTTTCACTTATTCACATAATATAATCACTAGAGGGTGCAATTTTTAGAAAAGTTGTGTAATTAGTAATATTTAGATACCTGAAGTTGTTTATTTCATATACTGCTAATTTTCACAAAATATACAAGAATACCAAACATATTTATTCATGTATTACGTGGGTTGAGTCAACTTTTTCATCTAGAAGTCTTCCACTAATGCTGCGCTAGCAGAATTTGCAAGTGATATGTTTACCAATGATGAGGGCACTATTTACACAAGATAAAATAACATTGTATAGGGAGTACCGCAGCAGCAATCACTAACACCATATACCAAGTAGAAAACACAAACTGTGCCACTCTGAACACGTCGCTTACTAAAGCGAGGCATCAATACCATATATTAAGTTGTTATGTAAGGTTTATTTTACTTTATCTCCCAACCTATTAAATGGACAACATCAGTTCATAAACGTAAAAAAAAAACAACGATGCAGTATTGGCAAACACTATAAATAGTACATAGAAGCCTCACATGAGGATCACAACAGTATAATAAATTATATTAATGCACTAACTTGATTAATCTAACAGGTAACGACTGATTAGCTATTTCAGCTGTTCAGACATATTAATGCACTAGTGTTATTAACCTAACTGGTAATAACAACCCAAGTACTGTTAAAGGACTAATAATTCACTGGGTTTTAATTTTGCTTATTTCGCTGCATGGAAAATGCGCTAAATTAAAACCCAGTGAATATGTAAAATTTAGCATAGAACACATTATCTAATGATAAAACCGTGAATTTAAAACCCACTGAATATGCCTGAACTGGTAAATCAGTGAAATTTAAACCCAGTGAAAATTAATCATTTTACAGTATACCAGCTAATCAGAAATATTAATGCATAAACTTTAGTAACCTAGGCAGGTACTGTCAAAAATCAGGTTGCAAATAAAATCAATAACATTATATTCCGATAAAGTGTTCATAAATTATTTTACCTCAAATAACTCACGAACTATTCAACCATTACTAAACACAAGAATATAAGGTTATTACGACGATACCTCAAAGTATGCACAGTACCGCATCGACCTCTGCTGTGCATCGGTCAATACTTCCACTGTTTCACTGTACTTAATTTGTGGCATTATTATACATCTTTTATACATCTTTTCCTTCCAAGGATACATCATGGGAATCTTGAATTCTGAAATGTTTAGAACAGAATCAGCGAACTTCTCTGTGTGGAGTCCGGTCAAACCATGGTGGCAGCCATGTTTGTTTTTATTATTAAAGGAAGCTTTAATACACTCATAATTATTTCATTCGCATTTCCTAATATGGTAGGATGAAAATACCTCATAAAATACTGAAAAATTATGGCATGCTGTAACTAATGGTGTTACGGTGACAGATGTATAATAATATCACTTATTTAAAAGTAAAAATAAAACAATGGCATACCAAAACACCCTAAGGAAGTTGTACCCGGTATGTGTTCATTGTATAGCCACATGTTCTAAAGCCAAAAGTTCATCGTCTAATTGAACAGCGATGAATTTCAGTAAATTTAACAACAGATATGTATGAATAGAAATTCACAACACTATTTACTGGAATGTCAATGCGACAAATATCAGCACTTTTGTTGTCACAGCAACGAACTAAGTCGCTTGATTGATTAGCACAGGCCAAAGTTATGACCTCATGGAATCAGTAAAAATTACCCAAAATACATTGAAAAAATGTAATAAAATTCTACCAACCCATACATGTGATCACAGTGGAATTTGTCACTTTTATGAGTGCTTGATTACCAAATCAAACAAGCTTGCTGTGATGAGAGAGGCTTTTAATTACAAAATCACATGGATAAGTAATTTTTATTTTTCACTGAATTGTCACACAAAAGTTATTTCTATGACTGAAACGTAGCTTTAAAAAACTTTGCATCACATTGAGTAACCAATTGCAAACAAGTGGCAAGTTTTGTCTTCTCTGCATGGGCGACAAATTTCAAGACCACATATATCAGTGATATGCAAATAAGAATTTTGCCACTCAGTTCATCATCAAAAGTGTTTTTGTTTTCCAAAAACTGCATATTGCATAGATGCATGGGAAAATATTCACTACAAACTGATTCAGAAATGATAGCAGCTCAGGGTTACATCATCAAGACATTTTTTATCTAATCTTGAATAATTATTATTCTTTCTAGACAAATACTTTTCAAGGAGCCTTTGTCACTGACGGCATTTATAGTTTTGTTTTGTGTAATTACAAAGAGGGGTCAATGTCATGGAACTATCATGTCAGGGACAGCAACAATGCTATTATGGGATACAACGGCGGTAAAGGATACTACGGGTATATTGTCAACGAACAGAAAAAAAGGCTGCCTACATTGAAGCAAAGGTACCGTCCAGACTTAGAAATAGGTAATACTGGTTTCCGTGGACGATGGATATACAGAGTAGAAAATAACCACAAGTATACCATAAACTACAAGAAAGATGTCTTGACTGGTATAACACACAACCAGAACCATACACGTGGAATTGGGGTTTGGGTACGTGCCCGTGTGGATTTTCTCAGGTCGACAGGATAATTCATTCTCTAATGGAAATGATGGTAATGATGAAGTTGCCGACACTACGATG